CAGGGCCTCTTGTACACTAGGCAGGTGCACTGCTTTTGAGCTATAGCCCCAGTCCTCTTCTATTCCTGAAATGCTTTCATTTCATCTCCTTGCTCTTTTCACTACTATGTTCTTCTCTTATATAAACATAGCTACTTATTTATCCTGCCCCACACTTTGTCTTTTCTGCATGTTCTCATCACACAGCCCACCAATCACCACTTACCTGGTTTTGCTGAAAGATTCCATCACACTTCTATGTAGTCCTTTCCTCTTTCATGGACTGCCTATCTTTCTCCTTGTATATCCCAGGAGGTCAGGATGGTTGGGGAGCGACGAACAGGGGACCTTATGGTACCCTTAGGGCCCCAGCTGCAGGCATACCCTGAAGAACTCATTCGACAGAGGCCTGGACATGATGGACACCCTGAATACCTGATCCGATGGCGTGTCCTCAAGTGTGGGGAAGAGGGCAAAGTGAAAGTCGAGGAAGACAAAGCAGAGCACCTCCTCATGTGGCTGTCAGCCCCAGAGGTCTATGCCAACTGCCCCATGCTATTGCGGGAGCGAACACTATCTAAAGGACCTCAGTATGAACCTGCTGGAGAGGTAGGACTCTTCCCACAAGACCTAGGAGGCCTGGATGAGTTGGCAGTGTCAGAGATGGAGGCTGATGTGCGGGCGCTGGTACGCAGGGCTGCCAGGCAGCTGGCAGAAGGTGGGACCTCAAGCCTGACGGCTGCTGTGCTTCACACTGTCCATGTGCTCAGTGCCTATGCCAGCATTGGGCCCCTCACTGGAGTCTTCAGGGAGACAGGAGCCCTTGATCTGCTTATGCACATGCTGTGCAATCCCGAACCTCAGATCCGTCGGAGTGCAGGCAAGATGCTGCAGGCTCTGGCAGCCCATGATGCTGGTAAGAGAAAGCAGGGAGCATTGGAGAGAATAGGGCCACAGGAGTAAGAAAAGAGTTGGCAGAGAGTTCTAATAAGTAGCAACTCAAGGTAAAAGAAACATAATAAATGGTACACACAGGACAAAAAGACATGGGGTTTATCTGTCACTCTGTGTGGCAGAGAGTAAAGCAGGCAGATTTGTACTTGTTGAATACTTGAGATGTATTAGTTGGTTGTGAAATTAGTATGGGGAGGGATTACAGCCAACTTAAAAAATTAAAATATCTGTACACAGATGATGTATTGGAACTTATCTTCAATCTTAGCATTTGGGAGGAAGACGCAGGTGGATCTCTGTGAGTTCAAGATCAACCTAGTCGGGCTGGAGAGATGGGTCAATTCCCAGAAACCACATGGTGGCTCCCAACCATCTGTAATGTAGTCTGGTGCCCTCTTCTGGCCTTCAGGGACACATGCAGACAGAACACTGTTTACATTATTATGTAATTAATTAATAATTAATTATTATTATTAAGAAATAATTTTTTTAAAAAAAGATCAGCCTGGTCTGGTGAGAGATCCAGGACAGTCAGGGCTACACAGTGAAATGCTGTCTTGAAAAACAAAGCAAAACAAATAAATATGCATGCACACACATTTGTATGAGCGCACGCGTGTGTGTGTGTGTGTGTGTGTGTGTGTGTGTGTGTGTGTATACAGAATTTAGTAATTTGTTTTTGTTTTTCAAAACAGGGTTTCTCTGTGTAGCTTTGGAGCCTATCCTGGCACTCAATCTGGAGACCAGGCTGGCCTTGAACTCACAGAGATCCGCCTGCCTCTGCCTCCCAAGCACTGGGATTAAAGGCGTGCAACACCAACGCCTGGCTATTGGGCTCATTTCTTATTCTCTTCATGGCAGTGAATTTTTAAAATTAGTAATTTTAAGTTTAATAGTGTAGTGTTATGTTTGTGGTGCTAGGTTACATGTAAAGTATCTTTCTTGCCTTGGGTCTCAATCACAGAGAAGTTTAAAAGCCTCTAGGGAAGGAGAAAGCCTAGGATAGGTAGGGAGACGCATTCGAGATTGAGAAGATCTGGACTGCATGTGGCTTACAGGGAGTCGGGCTCATGTCCTTCTGTCACTGAGCCAGCAAGATGGCATCGAGCAACACATGGATTTTGACAGCCGCTACACTCTACTGGAGTTGTTTGCAGAGACCACATCTACTGAGGAACACTGCATGGCCTTTGAGGGCATCCACCTTCCTCAGGTACTCTGTTACTTGTACAGGAATGCTGGGTACATAGCACTGTTTCTCATGCTATGATTCAGGTTAGCTAGCTAATCACAGTAAAGGTTCATGACCCCTTCTCAGCCTCTCCCACTTAGAATTTCTAATCCCAGAAACTAAGAATAGAAGCTGGGAAGATGGCTCAGCAGGTAAAGCTGTTGCCATAGAAGCATGCTGACCGGAGTTTGGATCCTCAGAGCCCACATAAAACTGGGTGGTTTATAGCAGCCTGCCTCCAATCCAGCTGACAAGAGAAAGAGATAGGGGATCCCCTGGGCAAGTTAGCTAGCCAGATCAGCTGAAATGGAGAGCTCTAGGTTCAGTGAGAGATTTTGTCTTGATATATAAAGTGGAAAGTGACCAAGGAAGATAACTGATGTCAACCTTGGGCCACCTCACCTGTGTGCACACATGTACATGTACCCCCCCCCCCCGCAGACACACGAGTGCCACACATGCACACACCACACACAAACATACACAAAAGCAAACAAAATAATTACTTTGTTGTCTCGAGAGATGGCTCTTTGGTTAAGAGCACTGACTGCTCTTCCAGAGGATCCAGGTTCAATTCCCAGCACCCATATGTTGCCTAACAACCATCTGTAACTCTAGTTCCAAGAGATCTGATGCCCTCTTCTTGCCTCCACAAGCACTAGATACACATGTCCTACACAGACATACGTATAGGCAAAATACCCATGCACATAAATAGTCTTTTAAAAAGATAATTCTTTTGTGTTTCTTAGACAAACCAATCAGAGAAGTATAGGACTAGGAATGAGGCTTCCTCATTTGTCTGTAGAGGAAGATACTGAGGACAGGGAGATGACAAAGCAGGAGATGAACTTAAACTAAGGTCTGTGTCTTGCAGATCCCTGGAAAGCTGCTCTTCTCCCTGGTAAAGCGCTATTTATGTGTCACTTCCCTGCTGGATCAGCTAAATAACAGTCCAGAGCCAGGAGCTGGAGACCAAAGCTCTCCATGTCTCTCAAAGGAAAAGAGCCGGGGACAGCGGGAGCTGGAGTTCAGTATGGCAGTGGGCAACCTCATTTCAGAGCTGGTTCGGAGCATGGGCTGGGCCCGGAACCTTAGTGAACAAGGCATTTTGCCACCCCGGCCATCCCGGTCCATCTTTCAGCCCTGCATTTCAGGCCTTCCGCTGTTACTGCCCACCATGGTCACTACTCCAAGGAAGCAAGGGCGGGCTTTCCGCCATCGCTCTGAATTCTCTAGCCGTAGTGGTTATGGTGAATATGTTCAGCAGACAGTGCAGCCCGGCATGCGGGTTCGGATCCTCGATGACTACGAGGAGATCAGTGCTGGTGATGAGGGCGAGTTCCAGCAGAGCAACAATGGTGTGCCCCCTGTGCAGGTGGGAGTCAAACAGTGTGGGACAATAGAGGATCTCTTCTGTGGTGTTTGTGGGGAGTCACTGAACCCCCAGACATAGCCTGAGGATATAACTCAGTTGCTCGAGTGCTTGCCTAGCATATATGAGGTCCTGGGTTTGATCCCCAGCACCATATAAAACTGGGAATGGTGTTGCATGCTTGCAATCTCAGCACTGGAGAGGTGGAAGCAGGATTGGAAGTTCAAAGTCATCCTTGGCTACACAGCAAGCTGGAAGCTAGCTAGCCTTGGCTATATGAGATCCTGTTTCAACAGCAAAAGAAATAAAGAAGGGTCAGGCATGGTGACATGGCTTTAAGCCCAGCACCCAAGAGGCAGAGGCAGGTAGATCTCTGTAGTTTTAAGCCCAGCCTGGTCTACATGGCAAGTCCCAGAACAGACAGGATACATAGAGAGGCCCTATCTAAGTAAATAATAATGATGAAAAAGAGAAAACCCCCAGACATGCAGTGTTTTTTTTTTTTTTTTTTTTTTTTTTTTTTTTTTTTTTTTCTGTTTTCTTTTTTTAAAAGGATCAGTATACAAGAGGGTTCTATTTTGGAGGGCGGAGAAAATTTGGTGGAGTCAGTGGGCTGTGAGGTCACAGGGACTGGAACCCAGGAAGCCGAAGTGATATACTGAGCTGTCCCCACTGCTGTCAGTAGGGGAGGGTGCTAAGGAGTGTGGGAGTAGAGGCCATGAAGGCTAGGAAGAAAGACTGCACAATCACTCCCCATATTGGCAGGAAGCCTTCAGCTATATGGAGACTTGTCTAGGCCCAGCCAGTTGTGGTCAGGCTCAGAGCTCAGAGGACTGAGCCGTTGGTATTATTCCCTTCTCCCAGGTCTTCTGGCAGTCAACTGGCCGCACCTACTGGGTACATTGGCACATGCTGGAGATCCTGGGGCCTGAGGAAGCTACTGGGGATTCCACTTCAGCAGCTGTGGAGAAGAGAGACGGGACTACTGTATTGGGCACAGGTGAGCTTAAGAGAGGACATGGGAAGCATGTTTCAGAACCAAGGGGCTCTGGCTAGCACTCAGACATTTCTGAGTGGGGCCTGCCCAAGAGGTTCAGAATGACCTACTCCTGCAGCCTCAGCACTTCCCTCCTGGGACTGGAAGCCTGCATATGGCCTGTACTCACTGCCATATCTCCAGCCTGAGCTCCAGAAGACTGAGGAGTCAGGATGCCTGACCCAGGCAGAGTGGTGGGAACTACTTTTCTTCATCAAGAAGTTAGACTTGTGTGAGCAGCAGCCGATTTTCCAGAGTCTGCATGAGAAACTGGATAAGGTACCAGAGACCTGAGCGATCTGGGCCGAGGGATGTGGTGGGTTAGAGACGGGCGCTTCAGGGCAAGTTGTAATTGTGGGTGTGTATGTGGCTGGAGAGCTAACAGTTGAAGCCTGTGAAGATCCTTCCTGCTAATGGAGGAGGCATGCTTTGCGGGTCTAGTATGTGGAAGGTATAAGGGGTTGGCAGGGTGACTCTTCTCATGACCGTCCCTAGGAACTCTGTGTCTGTTGGTCCCTTTGTATTGACAGGCCCTCAGTGAAAAAGCCCTAGGTGAGATCTCTGTGCCCAGAGAGATGGCAGAGGGGGTGCTGCAGGTTCTCAGTAACCGCTTTGAGGGCAGCAACCTCTGTGACCTGCTCAACTCCCAAATCTACACCAAGTATGGGCTAATGCCTGAGGACATGAGCAGCTTGCCTTCTTCACGGAGTCACTCCTGTACCCCAGAGCTAGAGGAGGAGTCAAAGTCGGCAGCCAGCATCTCAGAGGAAGAAGCTGAGTCCTGCAAGGCCAAGATTGAGGCCTCAGAGGCAGGGCCTGCTGGTCCAAAGATGGAGTGCCCCAAAGCACAGAGTGATTCACAGCTGTTCAGTCAGCTTCTGGTGAAAGAGGGGATGGCTCTGTCCCCTGAAACACAGGAAGCAGCTACTGGTGAGTTGGGTACTAGGAGGGGAAGGCAAAAACATTAGAGTAAGACATGCCCTGGCCCAGTAGGGTAGAGTGGAGGGAAAACCATGGAGGAAGTGGGGGGAGGGGAGGGAAGGGAAAACCGTGGAGGAAAGGCCCTTTATGCTGGAAAAGCCTGGAAAGCACCCACATGTCTCCCTCCACATGGACATTATTATCACTATCCGATAGTCACCCGATTCTTCAGTATCCTCAAAAGAGAAGAGTTTGTTTCTAATGCATCTCCATCTCTCTCGTGTGTGACTAGATCTCTCCTGTACTGTTGGAAGAACTAGGAATGCTAAGCTACAGTAGTGAATGCCATTGATAACAGACCTGGGCTTGACTTTAAACCTCCAGCTTGGAGGAGTCACAATTGTTTTAGCTACTACTTTTCTCTCACTAATTACAGAAATGGCCAGAGCCTTGCGGGGCCCTGGTCCACGCAGCTCCCTGGATCAGCATGTGGCAGCAGTCCTGGCCACTGTGCAGATCTCCAGCCTGGACACAGACCTGCAGCTCTCAGGGCTCTCTGCCCTCTCCCAAGCTGTGGAGGAGGTCACTGAGCGGGACCACCCTCTGGTCCGTCCTGACAGATCGTTGAGGTTAGCATGTTGCTGAGGGAAGAGGTTTGGGTTGAAGCTGCAGCCGTTCCGGATGATGGCAGGAGGGAAGGAGTTATAGAACCAAGAGGTAGAAGGGCTGGGATGAGGGAGAGGTGGGGCCCGAGGGCATTAGAGCTCTTTGCATACCCTGAGAATTTACTGTGTTCTCATTAAACCAGTCTACCCCACAGTAGCAATGATGCCGTTAGTCCTATGCTAGTATTAGTGTTACAGTTTACATGAGAAAACTGAGAACTTCACTCACTTGCTCACAGTTCTGCAGATGGCAGAGCCAGGATCCAAACCTAGGCCCTTCTGGCTCCAGTGCTTTTCCTTTAATTTTTTTTTTCAAGCCAGGTGTGAGGCACATGTCTAACCCTGGAACTTGGGAAGCTGAGGCAGGGGGATCATGAGCCTGAGGCCAGCCTGGGCTGCATAGTAAGACCTTGTCTACAGTTTTCTTTCCTCTCTTCTTTTACTTCCGCCCCTACTTTATTTATTTATTTATTTATTTATTTATTTATTTGGTTTTTCGAGACAGGGTTTCTCTGTGTAGCTTTGGAGCCTATCCTGGCACTCGCTCTGGAGACCAGGCTGGCCTCGAACTCACAGAGATTCGCCTGTCTCTGCCTCCCGAGTGCTGGGATTAAAGGCATGCGCCACCAATGCCTGGCTCTCTTTTTATTTTTAAAGTCTCATCTGATTTCATTATTACACAAGTGCATTATCATTTTTAAAACAGTTCATATAAAGGAATATTGAATGACAGCCCTGCTGGGATGTGGTGGCACACACCTATAATCACAGAACTCAGGAGTCAGAAAAAAATCCGAGGTCAGCCTGGAAAGAGAGGAAAAAAATTAGGGTGGGCTAGTAAGAAAAGAAAGGAGGAGAAAGAGAGAGGCGTGGGAGGAGGTGGCTCTGTAGTATTTGAAGCGGGATACAATCCTGGATCACAGCTCATAACAGAAAAAAGTCCCTTTCCGTCATCACTGTCGGATGGACCCTTCAGACCATCTGCAGGGTTAGTATGGAATCGCACGTTTAGGGACTAGAGAGATGGCTCAGTAGTCGGGACTGCATACTGTTTTGCCGAGGACCTGGGTTCGAGTCTCAACACCCACATTAGACAGCTCACAAACATCTATAACTCCAGTTTCAGGGGATCTGTTGCCTTCCTCTGGCCGCTATAGTCACCTGCACCTCTCATGTGCACACACACACACACACACACACACACACACACACACACACACACACACACACACACAATAAATATTAAACATGCAATTTGTTTGTAAGGATTTTTATAATATTTTAAAAGTATAAATTAGGTATTTTAAAAATCTGATGCATAAAAGCATTAAAATTGTGTGTATCATTTGGGTGTAAATAGCAAGTAATGTATTTGTGTTTTGGTGTCTGTGGTGTGGCCACACTCGAGTGTCTGTGGCATTTTTGTGTCCCCAGCCAGTGTCTGTTGGAGGATTTTCTGGTGTCAGTTATCACAGAGCTGTTCATTATTTTCAGTGCTGTGTAGAACTGCGATATGGCTGCAGCCAAATTCAAATGCACGGCTCTACAGTCTCCATTCCCCTTCCCTTGACTAGCATAGTACTGCTTTCTGATGGATCAGATTGGTGTGTGTGTGTGTGTGTGTGTGTGTGTGTGTGTGTGTGTCTGTGTCTGTGTGTGTGTGTGTGTGTGTGGCACGTATGTGGAGGTCAGAGGACAACTTGAGCCAGTTGGTTCTCTCCTTCCACCATGTGGCTTCTGGGGATCTAACTCAAGTCATCAGGCTTGGCAGCAGGTGTCTTTACCCACTGGGTGGCCCAAGTCAGCAAGATTTTAAATGATCAGTGTTTGTCTTTGTTAACTTCTTAGTTCTGATGACATTAAGTACATGTGTGTGGATTTCTTGTGTTTCTGCTTCCATAAATACTCTGTTTATGGAATATCTTTTTTATTGAGGGGTCCCCTTTTTCTTATAAATTTAATGGCATTCTTATATTATTTGTTATCCATGTTCAAAACATTTTGTTTGTGTTTTTTTTTTAATCCTGTTAGCTTTATTCTTGTGATCACAAGAGTGATTATTTAGTATAAGGAAGTTAGAAAGTAGACATGGCGGCCACGCCCTTAATCTCAACACTCAGGTGGGTCTCTACAAATTCATGGCTAGTGGGTCTGAGGCTAGCCAAGACTACATAGAGAGAATCTGTCTTAAAAAAAAAAAAAGTGGGAGGAGGAAGAAGGAAGGGAGGGAGAGAGGGAGCAAGGAAGGACAGGCAGATAGAATTAGATGAAAATGATCCAAAAGGCCTTTTTACAGATCAGCTAATATTTCAGTGAACATTCCAACTTCTGTTTTACCTTGTTCATTGGTGTTTTCCATGTTAGAGTAAGTAATTCATAGCCAGCCTGTTTCGAAGCTGGATGTAGTGAAGCCTGCCTCTAATCCTAGCACCTGGGGAGCAGAGGCAGGGCTCCAGGAGTTTGAGAGAAACCTGGTGGCTTCCGACTACAGAAGCAGCTGTGTACTTAGTCTGTCTAATTCTGTTGTTGTTGTCATAAGGTTCTGAGGAGACAGATGAGAATGTGTGCTCTTTCCCAGAGGGTCTCTGCTTGTGTTGTTTCTCTGAATCGTGCCCAGGCCACCTCACCTGTGTCTGTTACTGTGTGACAAGATGTTAGTACCCATTTTCATTCTCGGGACCCCCAGCAGTCTCACTCACAACCAGCATTTTTTTTTTTCATGAAAGGGAGAGTTATATTTGGAGATGGAGTGTCGTACTGCATTTCCTGGGATGACCTTGAACTTGTGTTCCTCCTACCCCCAGATCTCAGTGTTGGGATTATAGCTAGCTGGGACTGAAGACATAAGCCTCCATGTCTTGCTGTATTAGTGTTTCTCTTGGACATTTTCTCCAGCTCATATTGTTCGCCTCTTAATTTTGTTTGTAGTGGCTTTCAGTGTGCTAAATTTTTTAGGTTGCTATAGTTTTCAACTTTTTTTTTTTAAAGATTTTATTTATTATGTATACAACATTCTGCTTCCATGTATATCTGCACACCAGAAGAGGGCACCAGATCTCATAACAGATGGTTGTGAGCCACCACGTGGTTGCTGGGAATTGAACTCAGGACCTTTGGAAGAGCAGTCAGTGCTCTTAAACTCTGAGCCATCTCTCCAGCCCCAACTTCTTATAGCTTCTAAAACTTTCTGTCCTATAAGAGAGTCCATTCTTGGCTGAAGATAGGGCCCAGCAGTTCAGAGTATATACTGCTCTAGAGGAACTTATTTAGTTCAAAGTACCTATGTCAGGAGTAAACTCCAGCTCCAGGGAGTCCCATGCCCTCTCTGGCCTCTGCACATATGTGTGCATGCACATAACACATACACACACTTACATATATAATTTAAAATAAGAATAAAATCTTAAAGAAGAGTCCATGCTATTCCAGGATAAGAAAAATGTATAGCTTTTTTGGTATGTGTGTGTGCACTTGTGTGTGGAGGTGTGTGCAGTGGTCAAATGTTGGATGTCTTCCTCAGTCTCTCTGCATATTTTGTTGAGAATGAGTCTCTCAGTGAAGCCAGAGCTTAGCAATTTGGCTAAGTTAGCTGACCAACTGCAAGGCCCTGGCCCTGCCTCCTCGGTGCCCAGCTTTCTTCTGGAGGGTCTAGAGATCTAGATTCAAACCTCAATGTTTGTGAAACAAGTGCTTCACCACTGAGCCATCTAGCCTGGAAAAATATTTTCTTATTTTGCTAAAAATATCTATTTCTGTTTTTGTTTTTTATATTCATTTAAAATTCAACTGGAAATTTATTTTTGCAAATGGCATGAAGCAGAGCCTAACCTCTGCTCTTTTTCAAGTGGACAGCAGGCCCTGTCTTTTTTTGGTGCTAAGAACTGAACCCAAGTGTTAACGCTGTGTCCCTGAGCTACAACCCAACAACATCAGGCTGGGTTTGTGTTTGTTTGAAGGATTTTTACTTATTTTCCATTTTTGGCTTTTTAACTTTTGTAGATAAAATGTGTTTATCACACTGTGTTTAAGGCTGCCCTTGGCAAATTTCCTGTCTCCACCTCCCAAATGCTGGAATTACAGCATGAGCCATCATGCCCAGCTCCACCATCCATTTCTCAATAGTCCATCCTTGCTCACTGAGATCTGTCTGCCATTACTTCTTTTGTCAACTCTTGTCTCTTTGGCTCCCCTGTATTCATTCCTGAGTCTCAGTTATATACGTTTGTTTATATTTGGCTAACTAGAAACAAAGCTACCATTGTTTTTCCCAAACATCTCTTTACCATTCTTACGTATTGTTCTTCCTCTTCCTGGATCTGCCTGCCATTTTTTTCTTTTTAACTTTTAAGCCATTTGATTAGAATTACTTTCAATCTATAGATTCCTTTGAAATGCAGAACCAGGAGGCAGTTAGCCTGCAGAGGGAGGGTCAGGAGTGAGACTAAAGCCGGAAGACAGCTGTGCTGGGGGAAAAAGGGCAGCCTGCAGCTTAAGGGATGGAACTGGGCAGGGGGTCAGAGAGCATCATGTCTGGAAAGTTAGACCAGGCTCCTTGGAATGAGGAGTCTCAGTGTCTTCTCTCTTCTCAGAGAGAAGCTAGTGAAGACCCTGGTGGAACTGCTGACCAACCAGGTGGGAGAAAAGATGGTGGCGGTGCTGGCCCTACGCCTCCTTTACCTGCTCATGACCAAGCATGAATGGCGTCCACTCTTTGCCAGGGAGGGTGGCATCTACGCTGTGTTGATTTGCATGCAAGAATATAAGACATCTGTTTTGGTACAGCAGGCAGGACTGGCGGTGAGTACACTGGACAGGGTAGGATAGTGTGATGAGTGAGTCAGGTGGGTAGGATGGTCACAGACCTTGAAAATCTACTGTACTGATTTAGACTAAGTTGTGGATGTCGAAGTAGAAAGACACGGTTTTAAGAATGTGATCTGGATGGTTTGGAGCTTGAGTGCATGGCCAGAGAAAGGTACAATGGAGTTTCTAAGAATGATACTTACCGGGTGGTGTGGCATATACCTTTAATCCCAACACTTGGGAGGAGGCAGGCGGATCTCTGTCTACAAGAGCTAGATCCAGGACAGCCTCCAAAGCCACAGAGAAACCCTGTCTTGAAAAACAATAAACAAACAAAAGATACTTAAGCTGGGCAGTGCTGGTGGATCTCTGTGAGTTCGAGGTCAGCCTGGTCTACAGAGCAAGTTCCAGGACAGCCAGGGCTACATAGATAAACCCTGTCTCATTAAATAAAAAACAAAACAAGCAACATCAAAAAGGAATGATACTCAAGAGCTGGCACTGGAGTCTAGCTCCAGCAGGGTTCAGGGGTCCCAAAGAGGAGGGGTGGGGTGGGTGAAGGGAAGGAGACTGACCCAATCTGAGGGTGAATCATGATGGCTGCCACTTTATTTTATTTTATACTGTGTAGTTCTCACTGTTGTGCTTGTGAGACACTTGAACAGTCTTGAACAGAAGAGCCAGATAGAAGCTGGCCAAGGCATAGGTTCGTGTGGACATTGGTGTCCACAGGAGTAGTTGAGAGTGCCTAGAAAGGGAGGAGAGAACAGAGAAAAAGAACTGTATTTGAGGACCTGGCAGAGAAATACAGAAAGATAAAAATGCCAGGAGGCTCTAAGAGGTGGAACTCAGGAAAGGGGGGTGGATACAAAGGAAGTAGTGGCTATCTGAGATGAGTGTGACTTCAAGGACCACCTCAGAAGATAGCTGCAGGTTGTGAAGATTTAGACAGGGTAGCTTGCCCGCTCTGGTAGTCTTGGTGTTGGGAGCCTAGGGAAGAGAGAAGCAGCCTGTGGATTTACTGACTACTCTGAAATCGTTCTGTTTGCAACTTCCTCTTTTCTCCTTTTCCTTCCCTTCCTCCCACTTTTCCTCTCCCATCCCTCCATCTTCCCTCCCCTCCCCTCCCCTCCTGCTCACTCCTCCCTCCCTTCCCTCAGGTCCCATCACCATCTTCTCCATTTCTGTCTCTCATACCACCTGTCTGCCAACAGCCCAGCTGCTCCAGAGTCTGAGGTCTAGAATGGGGACAGCAGCTTCCTTCCTGCTTCCTTCTGGGGTGGTGTGGGGGATTGAACCCAGACCATGCCCATGCTAAACAAGTACTGCACCACTATGCTGCATCCCTTGTGATGGCTCTGTTCACCCCTAACTCTGCTTCTGCATTCTTCTTTCAGGCACTAAAGATGCTAGCCATTGCCAGTTCCTCAGAGATCCCCACTTTTGTGACCAGCCGAGATTCCATTCAACCTTTGTTTGATACACAGATGACCAGAGAGATCTTTGCCAGCATTGACTCAGCTACACGTCCAGGGTCTGAGAGCTTGCTCCTTAGTATCCCTGCAGCTGTGGTCCTGATGCTGAACACTGAGGGGTCAGATACTACCCTCCAGACTCTAGATCCTTGCTGTGACATAAGCCCCACTTCTCCTATGGCTCATATGCTCAGCAGAAATTGTACTTATATTGTCCCCTTTGGGTAAACACTGGTGGCCTTCTCAGAATGTCACTGGAGGAGAGACCAAGGGATTGATGTAGGGGATTTCCAGGGAAGGCAGAAAAAAGACTTTCCTTCATGGGATTGGTAGTAGTGGCCCAAGGTCAGATGGCCAGGAGTTCTTCCTCAGAGGAGAGGGACCCCTGGAGCACCCCACAACCTAGCTGCACTTGTCTCCCTGCCTCTGTTGCATTCACTGTCAACTTCTTGAATCACTCCCTTCCTCTCAGGTGCTCCTCTGCAGTGAGAAATGGTTTGCTTCTCCTCAACCTGCTTTTGTGTAACCACCACACTCTGGGAGACCAGATTATAACCCAAGAGTTGAGAGACACCTTGTTTAGGCACTCGGGAATAGCACCGGGGACAGAGCCAATGCCTACCACACGAACCATCCTCATGATGCTTCTCAATCGCTATTCAGAGCCTCGGGGAAGTCCTGAGCGAGCAGGTACCATTGTGGGGGGGTGTCCTGCTGACGAGTGACATGTGCCATGCTGTGACCAGAAAAGCTACGGTCTACATTCCAGGCCTTTACTGAAGGATACACGCATCTTCCAGAAATGAATGAAACCTTAAGTGTCCAAGCTAGACATTTTTTCAGGGTCAGCGGAGTGTAATATGTACAAGGTTGTGTGGCCCAGGCTGACCTCAAATTCAAGGTCTTCTTGCCTCAGTCTCCCAAGTGTTAGCAATATCAGTATGCAACACCATACCAAGTTAGACCTCAAACAGAACTTGACCAGAAGAAGACTGTTGATGTCCTAAGAAATCCTTTGTGGCTGGGCGGTGGTGGCGCATGCCTTTAATCCTAGCACCCAGGAGGCAGAGGCTGGCAGATCTCTATGAGTTTGAGGCCAGCCTGGTCTCCAGAGAGAGTTCCAAAGCTACACAGAGAAACCCTGTCTTGAAAAACCAAAACCAAAACAAATAAACAAAAACAACAACAACAACAAAGAGAAATCCTTTGTGTTTTTTTTTTTTTTTTTTTTTAAAAAGGTAAAAACTCATACATGGATACTGAAATAAGCAACTTGGTCTTTTGAGTCTGTGTATCTAAAGCCTCCAAACTTTCGAGGTATCATTATAACAATACTATTTATTATAGCTAACATTTAATAGTAAAAGGTAACTGAGATTTGAAATGTGTTGTATTTAACTCGGCAATGTTCCTTATACTGTGTTTTTTCAAGTTTAGTTAGGTCTACATTGGAGACCAGAAAAGAAAATTTCTTATACTTTGATAAACTATAACATAGACATCCTCAGTGTGGGAATAAAGTTTTTGGGGGTGGCTTTCTGGGGGTGCCCCATTGGTTTGACTGACTTCTAAGATGTCTCTCATGCACATTTTTCCTATGCTGTGTCTCCCTGAAGCACTGGAAAGCCCAAGCACCCAAGGCCAGGATGGGTCCCCTGAGTTACTCATCCGATCTCTGGTGGGAGATCCTTCTGCAGAGCTCTTCCTGGACTTGGAGCGTGTGCTGTGCTGTGAAGGCAGCCCTCAGGGTGCTGTGAGGCCCCTCCTCAAGCGCCTCCAGCAGGAAACCCAGCCTTTCCTCCTGCTGCTGAGAACTCTAGACGCCCCTGGGCCCAACAGAAGCCTGCTGCTCACAGTCCTCAGGTAAGGAAGGGGTCTGTGTGTCCAGGCAGGCACTTGTGCACAGGGATTAAGGGACTGCTGGAGTTTTATTTGTCTCCATCCCCTTACCAGGGTCACGATGCGACTGCTGGATTATCCTGAGGCCATGGTCCTCCCCTGGCACGAGGTCTTGGAGCCCTGCCTCAACTGCCTTAGTGGCCCAAGCAGTGACTCTGAGGTACCAGAGCCTTGGCAAGGGTTAGAGGAGGGAAGGCAGAAGTTGTGGCTCCACCTGCCTTGTGGGGTTGTGGAGGTTCAGCAGATCCTGGAGGTCTGCAGATCTGAGTGCACTGGGAGCAAGAGAGGAAGGAGGGGAAGGCTAATATCACCCCAGAGTCTTTGAACATCATGGAGTGATGTCAGAGAAAGGCTAGCTCTTGGGATAGTTTGATCCTGGTAGAAAGAAGCCCGTGAAACTACCCAAGCTCTGACCTGCTGGCTGGCTCTGGAGTCCCAGCACCTCAGTAGAGTATGCTGTTCCACTCTCCTTGGTCCTTTCCGGCCTTGCAGACTTCCTAGGTCTCTGTGCTTCCTTCAGGCCCTTACCCTGACATGCTCTGCTTTCTTGCTCTGGGCTCAGATCATTCAGGAACTGGTCTGCTTCCTGCATCGCCTGGCTTTGACGCATAAAGACTATGCAGTAGTGCTTTGCTGCCTGGGAGCCAGAGAGGTCCTCTCCAAAGTCCTGGACAAGCACTCTGCACAGCTCCTGCTGGCCTCTGAGCTTCGTGACCTGGTGACAGAGTGTGAGAAACATGCCCAGCTCTATAGTAAGCTCACCTCAAGCATTCTGGCTGGATGCATTCAGGTGAGAAGGGACTTATGGGTGTAGAGCTGAGAAAATAAAACCAGAAGCAAGGGCTGGGCTCTTTATGTGTCTGTCTTTCTTTGGGATCTGTGTGGCAGAAGTGGGGACATATCGGGGCACATGCTCGCTAACCTTCCCCCAACATGGTCCTATCAGAATTTGGTGAGAAAGGGGTTGAGTGCTCTGTTGCCTCTTGACCCCCTTTTCTCCATGTGTGTTTCTGACAGTTCTGCTTTATTCCCTCCCCATCCCATGTTCCCACTGCAGATGGTGCTGGGCCAGATTGAGGACCACAGGCGAACCCACCAACCCATCAACATCCCTTTCTTTGATGTGTTTCTCAGGCATCTCTGCCAGGGTTAGCGCCCTCCTCTGCTTTCCCTGGGGCTCCCCCACCATTTCCTTTCCCTTCCACTCTCCAGGCCCTTTCCTCATCTCTGACCATGCTGTGGTCTCCCCGCCCATTCCCACTGTCCCCAGGCTCCAGTGTGGAAGTGAAGGAAGACAAGTGCTGGGAGAAGGTGGAGGTGTCCTCCAACCCACACCGGGCCAGCAAACTGACAGACCGAAACCCCAAGACCTTCTGGGAGTCCAATGGTAGCACCGGCTCCCACTCCATCACCTTGTACATGCACCGTGGTGTTCTTATTAGGTATGAACCCATTTGTTTGTATATATTACTGTGCACCGATATAGCTCCCAAAGCATTGTCCCACAACTCCATTAGTGAACCCTGTTCTTATGGGTCATCTTCAAACTCATTCTGTGCAGTGAAAGCATGATTGGCACATCGGCCTTTCTTTGCTGTGCTGTGTAGACATCTCACTGTCTGGATCCAGACACTGGCATTCTAACAGATACAGGTAGAGATCTTGTGCTTAGAGATCAACAATTCACTTACCTATTCTTCCCATGGGTGTTTGTTCAATGTCAGTAGTGCCAAGTCCTGTACAAGGCTCTGGGGTACAAGGACAATAAGACATAAGGAATTTGTCGTCTAGTTGGGGAGCCAGGTTAGCGAGTCAATCAAGAGAATCAGGCTTGATGGTGCATGCCTATAATCTCATCACTCAGGAGGCTGAGGCAGGAGGATCAAGAGTTCAAGCCTGGGCTACATATTGAAACCCTGTCTCAAGGGGGGACTTAAAGAAGCAGAGAAATAAAACTGCATAAAGAGAAAGCATCATGGCCCAGGCACAGTGACATGGCTGTTGCCCCACTCCTTGGGAAGCTGAGGTAGGAGGATCTCTTGAACCCAGCCAAAGTTGTTCAGGTCAATATAAAGAGAAAGAGCTTGTCGAGAGTGAGCCAGGAGAAAGGATCCTGGGACCAGTGAGAGGCAGAGAAGGTTCATTTGAGAAGGTGTTGGCTGGGCTGAAGTTTGAAATTGAAATGAACTAGATAACGAGAACTCAACATTTCAGACAGAGCGGCAGCATGCAAAGGGAGAAACAGTCTTGGAATGTTTTAAAGTGCTGGCTAAGTGGAGTAAAGGGTGCCTCCTGGTGGCACGGGTGAAGCTAGGGGAGCAGGCACATGCAGACTGTAGGTTTTGTGAGCCAGGAACTTTGAACTTTGTTCTGAAACTTGGAGAGTTGTAGTTGTTCTTTTTGTTTTGTTTTGTCTTGTTTTTCACTTTTTACTCTTTGTGGGGCCTGCCACCCAGCTCCCAAATAAATACATGGAGACTTATTCTTTCTTATGAGTGCCTGGCCTTATCTTGGCTTATTTCTAACCAGCTTTTCAAATTATCCTGTCTACCTTTGGCTTTTTTTTTTTAAATCTTTCTCTATTCTATATACCTTTCTTTTCTTCTTACTCTGTTGCTGGTTGTGTAGTTGGGAGGCCACTGATGTCCTTCTCTCTTCCTTTTCTCACTCCATCTTCTCTCCTCTCTCTATTCTCACTGCCTGACAGCCCTGCCTATCCTTTCTCCTACCTTGCTATTGACTGTTCAGCTCTTCATTAGACCAGTCAGGTGTTTTAGACAGGCAGACTAACACAGCTTCACAGAGTTAAACAAATGCAACATAAAAGAATGCAACATATCTTTGCATCATTAAACAAATGTTCCACATTCTATAACGGGATTTTAAGAAAGAAAGAAACTAGCTTTGTTTTTCAGTTGGTACTCAGGCAATCATGGAAATTTGGGTTGGAGGCCAGAAAAAAAAAAGCTTTGGAAGGTGTATATGGTCTAGCTAAAAAGTGTTCAGTGTGTTCAGTTAAGAGGGACTGAAGGGGCAGAGGTGGACTGTGGGGTACTAAGACGTAGTATGTACAAGACTTGCCATTGGTTGCTGAGGGAAGCTGTGACCAGGTAGGTGGCCCATTTCTTTCACAGGGGACAGAAATAGAAAGGGAGTTGGCTTCTATGGACAGGTGACTACCTCATATTGTCATGTTGGCCTTGAGGAACCTGCTGCATATGACATGGGACTGTCTATTACGTGCACAGCATGGCATTAATTTGTCATCAAAGCCAGAGGGTTAAATAAAAGCACTTTGAAGAGCTGTAAGGGGAAAGCCAAGGGTCTGGGGAAGGCAGGCATGTCAGGGGCTGGAGGAGGAAGCGGTAGGATGAAGTGGCTCTGGTTTTCACTGACTTCTTTCTCTTCTCTAGGCAGCTGACTCTGCTTGTGGCCAGTGAGGACTCAAGTTACATGCCAGCCAGGGTGGTGGTGTTCGGGGGTGACAGTGTCAGCTGCATCAACACTGAACTTAACACGGTGGGAACCCTTGTACAACTCTTTACTGTGATCTCCCCATCCCTCCATTTTTCATTTTCCACCCCTCACTTTTTGGGTGGGGAAGACCCTGTCTCTGGGGAATGACTCTATTGGTTCCTTCTGGGAGGGTCTCCCAACTTGAAGTGCACCTGGGTTCAGTGGGGGAGTAAGAATGCAGGCCATGCGGTCTCGATTGTTGTCAGCATTCCTCCAGCTGCTCTTCTTTGTATTGTACTGTATCTTCTTTTTTACTGTGTGTCAAAGTGCATGTCTGTGTGTGTGAGTACAGTGCTCTTACAGGGCTGGGAGCTCTTACAGGCAGTTAGTGTAAGATACCTGCATGGGTGCTGGGCACCAGTCTCTGCTCTTCTGCAAGAATGGGGTGTTTTTGTAACTGCTGAGACCTGTCTCCAGCCCTGCCTCACTTCTTTGGTGGGTCTCTGCCTCCTCTCTCCTGCCCTGTCAGGTGAATGTGATGCCCTCTGCCAGCCGGGTAGTCCTCCTGGAGAACCTGAACCGCTTCTGGCCCATCATCCAGATCCGCATAAAGCGCTGCCAGCAGGTGGGACAAGGAGGAAGCGGGAGGGGGGAGGGGTGTCTCATTAGTGGGTGGGCTATCCAACAGCTGCAGGCCAGGACATTAGCAGGGTTCCTCTTTGGCCAGTTTGGAGATGGCCTGGAGACCTTGGGAATTCAAGTGTGGAACATTGGCTTTGGAGTACAGAGTAGCTAGGTGAGAAGTTGGTGTGTGCTGCAGGGTGGCATCGACACTCGGGTTCGGGGTGTGGAGGTGCTGGGCCCCAAGCCCACTTTCTGGCCATTGTTCCGGGAGCAACTATGTCGACGCACTTGTCTGTTCTACACAATTCGGGCACAAGCATGGAGCCAAGACATAGCAGAGGACCGCCAGCGCCTCCTCCAGCTCTGTCCCAGGTGGGTGCAGCACAGGAGCAAGACCGCTAAGGATGACACTGTAAGAAGTAGGGGTGGCCGAGTCTTTAATCCCAACACTCGGGAGGCAGAGGCAGATGGATGTCTGTGAGTTCGAGGCCCGCCTGGTCTCCAGAGCAAGTGCCAGGAGAGGCTCCAAAGCTACTCATAGAAACCCTGTTTGGGAAAAAAAAAAAAAAAAAAAAAAAAAAAAGTAGTAGTAGTAGTAGGGGCTGGAGAGATACTTTGGGCAGAGTATGCGCAGTGGAGATAAGCCAGCGCTTGAGGGGAAATTGAGCACTAGAAAGTGCTGGCAAGAGACCTGGGGAAAGGACCCCAGACACATGGCTGGGGTCAGCACTGTACAGGGAAGTTTCTTTCTTGAAGGTGGGGAGCCTGCCTTGAATCTGGCATTATATTATGTGTTTCCAGACTGAACAGAGTTCTGCGCCATGAGCAGAATTTTGCTGATCGTTTCCTCCCTGATGATGAGGCCGCCCAAGCACTGGGCAAGACCTGCTGGGAGGCACTGGTCAGCCCCCTGGTGCAGAACATCACCTCTCCGGGTAATCGCCCCATGCCGAGCCTCCACACCAGCTCCTCACAAGTCTCAGGTCACCTATGTTGATATTTTGGTTCTCTTGGTTCCTGTATTTGTCAGGCCTGTCACCTCAGTATTCCTCTCTCCTTCCTGGTCCAGGGACCACTCCCTGAGAGTGGTGTTTGCATCATCTCCTGCATGCTCTCCCTGCCCTGTTACTGTGTTCCCTGGCTGCCCTGAATCCAGCTGTGGTGAGGGAGGGCTAGGGCTCTGCCTCCCTCAAACCTTTTTGTACAGTTGAACCTGTAATCTGTCCCACAGACACCCATTCCTGGCTGGTCTTTCTTTCAGATGCTGAGAGTGTAAGTTCCCTGGGATGGCTGCTGGACCAGTACTTAGAGCGGAGGGAGAGCGTGCAGAGCTCCCAGAGTCAAGCTCCGTCCTTTGCTTCACGAGTTCGGCGCCTGTGCCACTTGTTGGTGCATGTGGAGCCCCCTCCTGGGTCTTCTCCTGAATCATCCACACAGCTCTGTGAGTCCTGTGTGGCCTGTTGAGCCGAGAATCTGTACTGTGGGGCTGTCTGGTTCCTTCCTTTGCTTCTCTAGGCCTCTGAAATGTGACCCTTCCCGGAGATAAACACCCAAGACTGATGCCTCCCAGAGGCTGCAGTGAAGCTCACTCGTTTGCCCTCTGTTCCCACAGTCGGCAAGAACAGTAAGAGTCAGAATGGAAGCCCTGTGCTATCCCCAGTCCTTCCCAGCAGCAGCCTCAGGAACATCACCCAGTGTTGGCTGAGTGTGGTGCAGGAACAGGTAGGCCGCTCCAAGTCTGTCAGGCGGGATGGTACATGGTGTCCATCCTTTATGTCACATCTTCCTCTGTCCCTTCAGGTCAGCAGATTCCTGGCTGCAGCCTGGAGGGCCTCAGACTTTGTGCCTCGTTACTGTTCTCTCTATGAACGCTTGCAGAGAGCAGGCTTGGAGCTGTTCGGGCCTCGGGCAGCCTTCACTGTGGCTCTGCGCAGTGGCTTCTCCGGAGCCCTGTTGCAACAGTCCTTCCTCACTGCCACTCATGTGAGTCCTGCCCAGTACCAGGCATGGGCTGCCACCCTGTCCCTCTCCTCCACTCTGCTCCCACTCTGCCCCCTTGCCCGTGGCTTGTCTGACGCCCACTCTGTTGTCCCCAGATGAGTGAGCAGTTTGCTAGGCACATTGACCAGCAAATCCAGGGTGGTTTGCTTGGCGGAGCCTCTGGAGTGGCAATGCTGGGGCACCTTCAGCAGTACCTGGAGCCCATCACGGTCCTCTCTGGCCTAGAGCTGGCTACCACTTTTGAGCACTTCTATCAGTGAGTCACATTCTGGAGGTTAGGGACAAGAGACTTAGAGGCCAGAGAAAGGGAAGATTTGAGTGTTAAGGGGAGATAAAGGAAGAAGAGCGGGAAGTTGAGGCTTGGTGGCGGCCATGTGCTGGTAGAGATGAGGTGGGTCCTGTGACCTAGGCAAGCTGTGGCACAGACTTACCTTCTGGAAGGGAAGGCTGGGCCTGGGCCTGGGCCAAGCTGGCACCTGCACTGAGACCCGGGCCAACTGTGTGTGCTTCAGGCATTACATGGCTGACCGTCTCCTGAGCTTGGGCTCGAGCTGGCTGGAGGGGGCTGTGCTGGAGCAGATTGGCCTCTGCTTCCCCAACCGCCTCCCCCAGCTGATGCTGCAGAGCCTGCACACCTCAGAGGAGCTGCAGCGTCAGTTCCACGTTTACCAGCTCCGGCAGCTTGACAGGCAACTCTTGGAGCAGGAGGACCAGGAGGAATGGAGGCTAGAGGAAGTGGAGGTGAGGGCAAGGGGAGAGAGGACAGCAGAATAGAGAAGAGGCCCACTAAGAGAGCTCATGGGCTCATTGCTCTGCTCCTTAGGAAGAAGACAAGGGGCAGGAGACTGAAAAGGAAATCCTTAAAGAAGACCCAGGTCCAGAAGTCTCTGTACTGGTCCTGTCACCACGCTGCTGGCCTGTCTCTCCTCTCTGCTACCTGCACAATCCCAGACAGCATCTTCCCACAGAGTTCTGTGATGCCCTTGACCGCTTCTCCAGCTTCTACAGCCACAGTGAGGAGCTAGGGACAGGAACCTGGAGATGGAGATGCATTCCGGGTGGCAACAGAGGAAAGGAGAGGACCACTGTGCAGGAGTGTATAGATAGGAAGGGGTTCTTTCTAGGTTTGGCAGTTTCTTGGGGGAGGGTACAGAAGAATGGGAATAGCTCCATTAATGCCTCCTGGAAACTGGTTCTGTTTGTGTTTTCTATCTTCAGGTTGTCTGCTCACTTCATTTCTAGTCTTAGGAACTTCTTTCCAAATAAAAATACTTAAGGCTATTCACCCCCCTCCCCCATCATTTTAACCACATCCTATGGTGGATTTTTTTTAACATATTATAAGTAGTGTTTAGAAGAAGATTTAGTGAGTTTATATACCTCTATATAGCCATATACCCATCCCCCTGATCAAGATACAGACCATTCCAGCACCCAGGCAGGCTTCTCCTTCATGTACACCCTTTCTTTCCAGCCAGTATCTTCTCTTTATTTTTCCTTCTGCCACCATAAATGTTTTCCTGCATCTGCACATTCTGTGGATGGGACTGTGACATATGTTCCTGTACTGTGTCTGCTCTCTTCACACAGCTTGGTGTCTGTGAAAATGGTCACTGTAGCATCAGTTTTTGTTCTTTGGTTTGCTGAGTCCTGTTCTACTGTGTGAATGTATCCAATTTTCTTCTTCTTATGGGACACTTAAGATGTAATTTTACTCTTAATTTTATTACGTGCATGCATATTTTTCCTGTATGTGTGTCTGTGCACCACATGTGTGCATGGTGCCCAGGGAGTCCAGAAGAGGGAGCTGGATGCCCTGGTACTAGAGCTACAAATGGTTTGAGTCACTATGTTGCTGCTGGCAGTCCAACCCAGGTCCTGGAAGAGTGTCCATTGCTCTTAACTGCAAAGCCATCTCTCCAGCACTGTGTGTATTTTTGATATTTGTTTTATTTTATGTGTTTTACTGCATGTGTGGATGCATGTGTGCCTGGTGTTTTCAGAGGCCATAAGAGTGTGTTGAGCTCCCTAAAACTAGAGTTGTGGATAGGGTGAGTGACTGTGGGTGCTGGGAACTGATCCAGGTCCTCCACAAGAGCATGTGAATGTTCTTAATTGTTGAACCTGCTTTCTAGCCCTTTCCATAGGATTTCATATACCATGTTTCTTATTGTTCACTTCTAATAAATGGCAATTTTCATTACTATTTTTTATATATAGGGTCTATTAGTATAGTTATGACTAGCATGGCACTTAGCCATAGAGCAATCCCCGCTGGCTCTTTTAAAAACTGTAATCATGTCACTGTTGGTTCATATTATCTTGGCTCTGCTCTTTTTTTGCTTTATTTTGTTTTTTTGTTTTTGCTTTTTGAGACAGGGTTTCTCTGTGTAGCTTTGGAGGCTGTCCTGGAACTAGCTCTGTAGACCAGGCTGGCCTTGAACTCACAGAGATCCGCATGCACCACCAACGCCCAGCATTGGCTCTGCTCTTTGATGCACATTTAAAATCATTTACTAGTGCCATCTGATAAGACCTTTTGTAAAGACAAAAAAGTATTTTAGCGGTAGTACACACGCCTTTAGTCCCAACACTAGGGAAGTGAGGCAGGCAGATCTCTGAGTTTGAGGCCAGCCTGGTCTACAGAGCGAGTTCCAGGATAGCCAGGGCTACACAGAGAGACTTGGTCTCAAAAACAAGCAAGCAAACAAAAAGTTTTCTGCACTTTTCAATATTATAACTGTTCCTGGCCACCTTAAGCACTTGGACTTGTAAATATGACTGAGGGACTGAATATTTAATTTTAATCATTTTAAATTTAGAGTTGAACTACATGTAGCTAGTGACTACCAACATGGACTGTGCAGGTTTATAGTTTTGTGGTAAATTAAAGGTTTTATTACTATGAACTGACTGTTTTCCTTTGATGACGCTCATGAGCTAGCATGTTTTAGTTAATATTTTTCTGCCCTTATACTTTTGCTTTCATACTGAAAGAAGTCCTGAACTGTCCAGGTTTCCTTGTTTTTGAGACACATCTTAAGGAGTCCAGCCTCAAACCCACAAGGTAGCCCAGGAAAACCTCCAAATTGCTAGTTTGTGTGGTGCTGGGGCTCAGACCTTGATGTGCCTGCCTCCGCCTCCTGAGCACACCACCACAGCTAAAAACACTTGTCTTTACAAAAGGTCTTATCGGATGGCACTCCTGAATGATTTTATTTATTTGTAATTAATTTTTATTTATCTTGAATGTGCATCTGCATCCACCAAGTGGATTCATCTTTAGTCCTTAGGGTGCTTTTCCTCCTATTTCTTTTCACTACTCTCCCTCTCTCCCTCTCTGTGTACATGTTCAGAGGTCAGTCACACGGGGTGTGTTCTTCAGTCACTCTCATTTTATTTTGGAGACAGAACCTTCACTGACCCTGGAGCTCACCAGTTCACCCCAACTGGCAGCCCCCGGGATACCTCCTCCTCAGCCTGGGATTGTAGCCTTCACTTGGGCTCCTGGCTTTTATGTGGTGCTGGGTAGCCACAGGGCGCTTATTTGGCGCACACAGGCCCACTGAGCTGTCTCTCCAGGCCTAAGTTTGTTTCTTTGTTTCTGCTTTTTTTTATTGTGGTAAAATATGTCTGACATAACATTTGCCATTTTAACAGCTTTAAGCATACAGTTTCAGTTACCCTTCCCCCAATTTTTCTTTTTCAAGACAGGGTTTCCCTTGTATCCCTGGCTGTCCTGGAACTCACTGTGTAGACCAGGCTGGCCTCAAACTCACAGAGATCCGACTGCCTCTGCCTCTCAAGTGCTGGGATTAAAGGCGTGTGCCACCTCCTGGTACCTAATTTTTTTTAAATTTAGAAATAATTTCAAGTTTACAGAAAAATTACAAGAGTAATTCAAAGAACACCCATGTAATCTTTATCCAAGCTGCCTTTTGTGAACACTTTGCTTTTTATTTTTTTTTCTTTGAAAAAAGTCTGACTATGGAGGTGGCCGGGTACTCATGTTTGGAGCAGGTTAGACTTGTAGGGATGCTTCTCTGGCAGGCCTGTCCCACCGTGCTGGTGGTGGCATTTTATTGTTAGTAGTAGCATTTTTTTTTTTTTCTTTTCAAACAAGGTTTTCCTCTGTAGCCTGGTCTGGGCTGCAACTCCCAGACATCTTGCCTTTATCTCTCAAGTTCTGGGATTACAAGCATGTGGCAGCATACCTAACTCATTTAATGCTCTTTGTATGCACATGTGTGTATATGTGTGTATGTATCTGTGTGAATACACACACACTTTTTTCCAGAACCATTGAGAGAAAGTTGTCTCTATTCTGGTTCTTTGCTCCTAAACACTTCAGTACATATTTCCTAGACATATAAGCGTCTAATACATAGAAATTCAGTTAATGCCTTAATTTACCTCCCATATTGCAGTTTGTCATCTGATTCATAAAGCCTTCTATGACTTTGCTTTCCATCCAGGAGAGGATCCGGGTGTATGTCACCTGCTGGTGTAGATTTCAGGTGGTTGGCTTCCTTTAATCTGGGATATTTTCTCAGTCATCTCTGTCTCTGAACACTGACTTTTTTTTTTTTTTTTTTTTTTTTTAAAAATCCAGTTCTTTAAAATTTTAGCCAGGCCAGTCTGGTCTACAAGAGCTAGTTCCAGGACAGCCTCCAAAGCCACAGAGAAACCCTGTCTCGAAAAACCAAAAAAAAAAAAAAAAAAAGGAAAGAAAAGAAAAACCAAATAACAACATTCGGGTAGTTGATCACTTTGTGGGTGTGATGGTTCCTTGGGTTAAGACCCAGGTTCTGTGTTCACAGGACACTAAGTGATAATTGTCAAAACATTTATCTCCTGACTTCCCCACCCCCCACCCCAGTTCTGGGGACATGTAGTTGCTAAACATATGCTCAAACACTAAACTACATTTCCCATTCCCTGTTAATGTTAACTCTGAACACCTGGTCAAGTACAGTTAATATTTTTTCATTACACCACTATTAACAAGCAGTAGGTAGAGGGGCTATTCACAAGGCTAGTCATTCTCAGGGCATTTTATTTTATTTTACTTTGGAGAGGAGGTTTCACATATCCCAGACTGGCCTCAAGCTTTATATGTATCAAGGATGACCTTGAACTTGTTACCCTCTACCTTTGCCTCCTGTGTGTTGAGCTTACAGGCATGTGTTAGTCACCATGGTCAGTTTCATGCTGTGGGGATTAAACCATGGCTCTGTGCATGCTAGGCAAGCATTTACACCCCTACCTCTACTTCATTTAAAATATTTTTACTAATGGGGCTGGAGAGATGGCTCAGCAGTTGAGAGCACTGGCTGCTCACAGAGGACCTGGGTTTGATTCCCTGTAGCCTAACAGCTGCCCCAAACCCCCTGTAACTCCATTTCTACAGATCTGATGCTCTCTTCAGCCTCTTGAGGGTGCCACACACAAATCAGTGCACAGACACACATGCAGAGAAAATGCTCATACACATCAAAATAAACTTTAAAGTATTTTTACAATGATAAATTTCGAACATATAAATAGCATAAACTCCAGAATATCAACATAAGGCCCAGCGTCACATTCTCCTCCTCCTTCCTGTCTGAAACCCTTTAGAAGTTCATCAGCTATGCACTATTCATATTTCCCTGGTTGTCCCAAGTCTCTGTCTTATTCTTTTGCTTGCTTTATTTCATGGGGATCCAAACAAGGCTCAGACATTGTGTCTGGTGGTTAGTTTTAACGTCTTCAGTCTAGGTCCTGCTGTCCCTTTCTCCCTCAATGGTTGTTTGTGTGGATATAAGGTTGCAGGGTTATTTGGATTCAAGTTTGTCCTTCACGATGTTCATGAGCTGTGGATTTCAACACCATCAGTCTTTTTGCTGCAATCCGTTTTTGTTTGTTGCTTTGGGTTTTGGTTTCTTGAGAAAGGGACTCATGTAGTTCAGGCTGAGCTCAAACTTACTGTGTCACCAAGGCTGACCTTCAACCTCTGATCCTTCTGTCTGCTTCTTAAGTGTGGGGCTGAGGCATGGCCATCATCCCTGATGTATGTGGCATAGGGATGGCACCGAGTGCTACCCCGAGCTCCTCATGCCTGCCACTTCACTAGCACTTATGAAATAGTGGCACTCTAGTTTGCCATTGCTCCTTCATGTGAGTGTGATGCCTTCTCTATAGAGAGGCTTCTCGTCATCGGCTCGACTCTCCTGAAGTAGTTTTGGCAGGAAAGGCTGAGTGCCCTCTTTCCTCTAGGTCTGTTTTTGTTTGGGGTTTCTTTCTTTTTCTTTTTCCTTCCCCCCCCCCCCCCCCCCCCGTGAGACAGGGTCTCACTATGCCACTCTGGCTAGTCTGGATTGCTCTGTGTAAACCAGGGTGGCTTTGAACTCATGGAGATCCTCATGCCTCTGCCTCCTGAGTGCTGGGATATTTACTACCATACATAACAGCTATTTTTGTTTGTTTTTAAAATTATGAACTGATTCTCTGGAATACTCCAAAGATGATCAGTGAGGCCTTTAAATATACAGCAATATAATTACAAATCCACAAATGTAAATATACTGTGTTTGTTTCTATCACCTCAACCCTAGCCCACTCTCTGACTTGGTCTCCTTGACATTTCCCTAGGTCAGAACTACCCAGTCTTGAACATGGGGCCACATCGGCGACTTCAGTGGACATGGCTAGGCTGGGCTGAGCTGCAGTTTGGGGACCAGACCCTGCATGTGTCCACAGTGCAGATGTGGCTGCTGCTGACTTTCAACCAGACAGAGGTGCCTCATTGCTCCAGCCCCAGTCTCCTCTCTGTCCCTCCTTCCCTTCATTTTCCTTTCCTCCTCACCGTGATGGGCACTGTTTCTCCTCACCAGGAGGTGTCAGTAGAGAGCTTGTTGAAGACTTCTGGCCTCTCCCCAGAGCTTCTGCACCAGGCACTTCTGCCCCTTATTGAGGACAGTGGTCCTTTGACACTGGAGGAGGCTCAGAACCTTCCACAGGCGGGTAGGTCAGCGGAGCCTGGCCATGCCTCTGTGGCATGCTGGAAGGCCCAGAGGGTGGGAGGACTATACCAGGGAATGAGAGTGGTAGGATCCTCATTCATGTGTCCCTCCTTGTCCTTGGGTACCTGATCTGCACTGGATTCCAGGGATGCTGCGGCTTCGTGAGCCTAGGTCCCAGCCCCTTGAAGAGGTCCTGTGGCTGATACCTCCCCAGACATATTTCAGTGTAGAAAAGGATGAGGGCCGGACCTTGGAACAGAAGAGGAACCTCTTGAGCTGTCTTCTTGTCCGGATACTCAAAGCCCATGGGGAGAAAGGCCTCCACATCGATCAGCTGGTTTGTCTGGTAGGCAGAAAGGACCATGCCCTGGGGAAGGGGTCATGCTCAGGGTTAGAGATGGAACCAGAGGTCATCACAAGAGAAGTTAACTTCTTTCAGTATGAAACATCCTTGGGATGACATTTCCACCTGGATTTCTGGGGGTGGGGGGTATATGCACACACAGACACAAATTAGAACAAGCTTGGGTGTCTGTCCTTTCCTCTGACTTTGTTCCGCACCAGGTGTATATGTGAGGTGACCTGGCTCATGAGTTCCTGGGGCTCTTCTGTCTCTCCCTTCTCTCCTTCAGAGCACCTGGGGTTTACACATGCTACTATACCACACTTTGTAGGGATTCGAACCTTTAAGAAGTAAGCACTTTATTCTGCTGCCTCTGCAGCCCTCTGAGTTTTCTATCCTGAGTGCTTACCATGTGTGTGATTGAGTAACTTGGTCCTCAACGATAGTTCAAATAAAGTTAGTATTAATATTAGTTTGTACAAATATTAAGCTCTGCTATTGGATGGATGAGAAAGGTGAAGCATGAGAAGGTCTTACCTGGTCTCATGGCTAGTAAGTAGTGGGAGAGCCAGGTACTGAACCCATGAGACTGGCTCCTAGGTAAGGGCAGTCTGCTTGTTTCTTTCTTCCCATCCAGGTGCTGGAGGCCTGGAAGAAGGGTCCAAATCCACCTGGGAGCCTGGGCCGCACTGTGTCAGGGGGTGTGGCCTGCTCCAGCACCGATGTTCTCTCTTGCATCCTGCATCTCCTGGGCCAGGGCTATGTGGAACGGCGTGATGACCGGCCCCAGGTCCTGATATATGCTACCCCAGAGCCCATGGGACCTTGCCGGGGTCAGGCAGACGTCCCCTTTTGTGGCAACCAGAGCACTGAGACCTCCAAATCTAGGTAGCCACCCCTCCCGTTAATCCCAGCACTCAAGAGCCAGAAGCAGGCAGATCTCTGAGTTTGTGGCCAGCCAGGGCTGTAGTGACACCATCTCAGAAAACCTAAAATTAACCAAACAAAATACCACTTCCAGTCTGTCCTGCCCATTTTTCTATCTCTATTTCTCTTACTTGCTAATTTTCACCCTCTATTTCTCCATCCCCACCCCACCCCCTGTACCTCATACCTTGCCAATCAAGTGTCTTGATGTCCCCATCCTCCTAGAGTCAGCCCTTAGGCAGGAAACCAGGGGCATAGATGGCACTCTTCCTGAATAGACCTGGTCTGTGCTGTAAACACACACAGAGCACTAGCTGTGCTCCTACCTTGGGATATGCCAGCCCCCAGGAGGCTGCTCTGCTGGGGAGTTTGCTGGAGGCTGTCCTAAGTCACCAGTACCCCTGAAACTTGCAACCTCAAGTGCATCCCCCAGTGTGTTACAGCATTGGTGCCTGCATGATGTATGGAATGCATTCTCTGACTTCTCAAACCTCATGTGTGTTACGTGTGGCTGAGTGCAGATCTGACTCAGCTGCTCCTTCTGTGATGGCCAGGCTGTTGGTCCACAGGTCATGCTTTGAATAGGAAGGCTTTAGACATGCTGCTAGCATTCACTATATGTCACTAGTCACCGTGACCCCTACACACCGGCCTATAGTGCTTCCAGTCATTGTTCAGCCAGCCTCAGCCTCACATTCACCCCTGCTTCTATGAAGGGCTCTGTTCCCCCAGGGGGTTCAGGTGGTTATACGTAGGCTACGGAGACAAGTGTAAGCACTGGATCATAAATGGGGAACTAGGGGCCTGTTGGGAGCTTGTAGATAGGTAAGCAGGATGGAGACACTAAACACTGTCCTTCTCTCTCCCTAAGCCCAGAAGCTGTGCTGGCCCTGGCTTCTCTACAGCTGCCTGCAGGCCGGACCATGAGTCCCCAGGAGGTAGAAGGATTGATGGAGCAGACGGTGCAGCAGGTGCAGGAGACGCTGAACTTAGAGCCAGATGTAGCCCGACACCTTCTGGCACATTCCCACTGGGGCACCGAGCAGCTGCTGCAGAGCTACAGTGATGACCCAGAGCCTCTGCTTCTTGCAGCTGGGCTACGAGTACCCCAGGCCCAGGTTGTCCCCACACGTCCTGACCACTGCCCTGTCTGTGTGAGCCCTCTAGGACCCAACGATGATGCGCCCTCCCTCTGCTGTCTGCACTGCTGCTGTAAGGTGAGCACACAGCCTCTTCTTCCCCTGCCTTTCCACATGGCTGGCCCAAAACTTGGGTCCCTCCAAACTTTGATAAATTCAGGAAAGAAGATACGCTTGGGTAATGTCATAGGAAGTGATTGGATAGAGACAGGCCTGTCCTTTTACATTGAGGGATCAAGGGAGGCCTGCCAGGAGGTACATCTCATGAGAGAGGGCTGTAGCCAGAGGACAGCAGGCTGTGTGTGGCAGCCAACACTTTAGGAGGATGTCTGAGAAAGGATGAGGAGGTTGAGTTAGATGGTGATCAGTGGGAAACCATGATGGGTTTTAAGCAAGGTTTTATTTACACTTCTGAAAACTTAGGCAGGAGTTGGGGAGACAGCTCAGCAGACAAAAGTACTTCCCATGCAGCATGAGGGCCAGAGTTCAAACCCTAACCCCGCAAAAGCAGTACCGGTAAGGGTAGGCATTGCAGGCTCTCCAGAGTCAGAGACAGGATCCCTGGGGCAAATCCATGAGCTAAGCCAGTCAGGATTGGTGAGCCCCAAATTCAGTGAAAGACCCAGCTTCAGTAAAGAGATTGAAGAGCCATCAAAGATGACACCATGTCAGCTTTGGGCTTCTCCACCTACATGTGAGCACCAGTACAGACAGACACACTCGTCCCTGTACAGACACACTCGCCCCCGTACAGACACACTCGCTCCTATACAGACACATGCACCCACCTACCAAAAAACAAGACAAACTCTTTGGCTGTTATGTAAGGATGAGGTTGCTTTTTGGACTTGTGTGGTAGTCACTAGAAGAGTAGATGGGTTTTGATATGTTTACAAGTAGGGCCCACAAGACTTGGGTGGGCTTCGGATAACAGAATAAAGACAGTTCCTTGGTTTCTGATCTAAGCATCTGGGTGGATGGAATGCACCACTTCTACTATGTTTGAGAGGAATTTGGGGTGAGGTGTTGGGATGAAGGGTGGAGCTTTGAGAGGAAATTCACTCTGTCACAGCTGTGGAAAGTTTGAGCCGCTCACCTGACATTGTGTGGTAAAGGCGACTAGTCAATGGGACTTTGAATTTGGAATTAAGTGGAGAGGCCTGGCTGGCAACGCTACAGGAAGAGAGTGGAGAGATGCAAAGACAGGGAGCCTGCAAAATATAACTGAGAAAAATAAGGTGATTAAAAAAAAAATTCCTAGCCCTGGGGGCTGGAGAGATGGCTCAGCGGTTAAGAGCACTGGCTGCTCTTCTAGAGGTCCTGGTTTCAACTCCAGAAACTACATGGTGGCTCACAACCATCTGTAATGAGATCCGGTGCCAGACACACATGCAGGCAGAACACAGTATACAGAATAAATAAATACATCTTTAAAAAATAATTACTAGCCTGCAATGGTGGTGGTGCCCATCTTTAATCTCGGTACTCAGGAGGCAGAGGCAGGTGGATCTTCATGAGTTTGAGTCCAACCTGGTCTACAGAGCTAGTTCTAGGATAGCCAAGGTTACACAAAGAAACCCTGTCTTGAAAAACCAAAAGTAAATAGTAAATAAATAAATAAATAAATAAATTTAAAAGTTCCTAACCAGAGGCAGAGGCAGGCAGATCTCTGAGTTTGAAATCAACCTAATCTAAGTTCCAGGACAGCCAGCACTACATAGTGAAAACCTGTCTCAAAAATAAAACAAACAAAAAAAAAGTTATAGGTTTGCTGGGCATGGTGGTACATGCCTCTAATTCCAGCACTTAGGAGGCAAAGGCAGGTGGATCTTTGCGTTCAAGCCCAGCCTGGTCTACAGAGCAAATTCTAGGACAGCCAAAACTATACAGAGAGACCCTGTATATATGTAAAAAAAAAAAAAGAAAGAAAAAAAAAGTCCCAGCCTGTGAATAAGGCAGAGATGGCAAAGCCACAGGCCCAGAACAGTGGGAGACCACCAGTGAGAACCTTGTTGGCAAGCAGGATGGGCATAGGGCAGGCGATAGCGCTGTTCCTCTAGGGCTAAACAGTGGCTGTGGCAGAAGCCAAGAAAGTAGAAGGCTGTCCCAGGGCTGAGGGACCCTAAATCACTGTGGGGTCCACATTTGGCAAAATCTCCCCTTGCTTTGTCTAAAAATGATGCAAGTTTTTTTTTTTTTTTTTTTTTTTTTTTTTTTTTTTTTTTTTTAGTTTGCTTCCCACTTAGTTTTGGTTTGTTTCAAGATGTAAAGGGTGACAGAATGATCCAGATTCTACACATGGACCCCATCAACTGGTGTCCCTAATGCTCATAGTCTCCTGGGCTTTGAATGATCATTTTGGAACAGTGAACATAGGCTGAGGGGCAAGGGGCCAGTGCAGTAGTTTAAGAGAGTGAGGGAAAGGCCTTTTCTCAGGAGGCTCCTGCAGTGTGTTGAGGAGATGACACTGACCTACTTTAGGGTGGGTGGTGGAACAATACAAGAGTTTGGGAGACAAATTCTGGCACCGGTAACTAGGTTGGGGTAAGGATGACTGTGCTGTTCAGATCAGGACACAGGGACACCACAAGCAATTCTGTTCTGTGGGGAAGAGAACAAGTCTGTTTAAAGGAGGTGGAGCTTTAAGCTGAGAAAGCTGGAACCAGGAGACTAAGAAAAAAAATAGTCTCTAATTCATATGTATACGTGGTCAGGAATCCCGGCAGGCAGAAGAGAAACAGGGGACAATTCATCCTTCAGAGGCACATCCCCAGTGATCTATGGCCAGCCACCTACCACCAGTGGTCAAGGCAGAATCCTCATGGTCCTGCCACCTCATAAAAGCCCCACCACTAAACACTGCTTCCACCAGGGACCAAGCCTGCAATATACCAGCCTCTTATGGGGCACTAAGCCATCACACACTGCTCTTTGCGTATCTTAGTGCTCAAGCCTTTCCAGTAGATTATTTACTTCCTCTGTGTCTATCTGATAGTATTTACAGTTAGGCCAATGCCTAACCCTGTACATCTTCAAAACAGCTACAATTTGGTCTCATCCCAAGAAACCATGGGAGTCTGGAAGGCACAGTCAGCTGTGAGGTAGACCTAGGAGCCTGCCATCCCTGGTCTTCTGTGAAGCAATGGGAGCATGTGTCAGTTCAGTGGCCAGGGTCCCTGTCCCTAGCAGCGCCTCCTTCTGTCCTGGCAGTCTTGCTGGAATGAGTACCTGACGACTCGGATAGAACAGAACTTTGTGCTGAATTGTACCTGCCCAATTGCTGACTGTCCTGCTCAGCCCACTGGAGCCTTCATCCGGGACATTGTCTCCTCCCCAGAGGTCATCTCCAAGGTACCCTCCTTCCTGCCCCAGGCCCCAGAGGACAGGCTAGCCTCCAGATACTAAGAGCATTTGGGGCCTCCTGGAGAGTCCTGCTCTCCCATCATTGGTAACAACTTGCCTCTTCCCACAGTATGAGAAGGCCCTCCTGCGAGCCTATGTGGAGAGCTGCTCCAACCTGACATGGTGCACCAACCCTCAGGGCTGTGATCGCATCCTGTGCCGCCAGGGCCTGGGCAGTGGAACCACCTGCTCTAAGTGTGGCTGGGCCTCTTGCTTCAACTGTAGCTTCCCTGAGGTGGGTGCCCCACTCTGACCCCTGCAAGGACTCACCCCTTCCTTCCCTGCCCAGCACTTTTACACACACACACACACACACACACACACACACACACACACGCACACACAGATGTCAGGGGGCTTCCTTGCCCCCTGATACCTGGCTGAGTTGGCTGTCTGCTCACACCCTCCCCCCCAGGCACACTACCCTGCCAGCTGTGGCCATATGTCCCAGTGGGTTGATGACGGTGGCTACTATGAGGGCATGAGCGTAGAGGCCCAGAGCAAACACCTGGCCAAGCTCATCTCCAAACGCTGTCCCAGCTGCCAGGCGCCCATCGAGAAAAATGAAGGGTGTCTACAGTAAGTAGGGGTACAGGAGGCTGTGTGGGAGGCCTAGCAGTAAGGAAGAAACTCAAGCTTACTGTGGAGTACAGCAAATACACTGCCCTTACTCATTGTTCCCCAGGGTCACCTCCTGACTCCTCCACCCCAGTTCTAAGTCCACTGTGTTGGGAAGCCCAAAGCAAAGGTGTCCTTGGCAGGGCTTGGGAAGGTGGGACCTTGTCAGTGGTGTGTCCAGCCCTTGGGCACCCTGGACACCCTTATGCAGAGGCAGGCTTCTCTGACCAGCTCGAATCCTCCACAGCATGACCTGTGCCAGATGCAACCATGGGTTCTGCTGGCGCTGTCTCAAGTCCTGGAAGCCAAGCCACAAGGACTACTACAACTGCTCTGCCATGGTAAGGGGCTGGGCACATGGGGTCAGAGACCCAACTGCAGCTGCCGTTGGCCCTAGGGCAGAGTTGTATGCCTCGAACAATGGCATAGCAGCCAGAGCAAAGCAGTGGGGAGAGACAGGGGCCTCTGAGGCTGAGGTTCTGGGAACTCTGTACTGAGGGAGAGGACTGCCCATTCAGGTGACCAAAGAAAGACTAGGAAGAGCAGAGCAGGGCATTCTGGGCAGTCCCCAGAGCAGGGAGTGTGGAGTGAGCCTGCCCTAGTGCTGGCTGCCCAGGGACAAGCCTCAACTTTCCCATGTGAAGGGAGGCCAGCAGCAGGACCTGCAGGTGAAGTGTAGAGAGGCATCATGGATAGTGGCCCTTCTAAGAACCCCAGCCCATCAGAACAAGCACCCAGCAACAGTTCCATGTGTCCTTACCAGGTGAGCAAAGCAGCTCGCCAGGAGAAGCGGTTTCAGGACTATAACGAGAGATGCACTTTCCACCATCAGGCCCGGGTGAGCAGTGGGCAGCAGGTGACTGCACTGGGAGGGCCTGTAGGGAGCTTCATGGCCTGCAAGTCTCACGGCTGGGACTGCACTTTGCTCCTACAGGAGTTTGCTGTGAACCTGCGGAACCAGGCCTCTGCCATCCACGAGGTGCCCCCACCTAAATCCTTCACCTTCCTTCACGATGCCTGCCGGGCCCTTGAGCAGGCTCGAAAGGTTGTAGCAGTGGGGGAGGCAAATGGGAGGGAGGGTACACCAAGGGGGCTGAATGGGCTTGGATAGAGGAACCAGAAGAGAGGAAATGGAGCTGGATGCACTGAGCTGACAGGGTCTCTCTAGGTGCTGGCCTACGCCTGTGTCTACAGTTTCTACAGCCAGGACACGGAGTACATGGATGTGGTGGAGCAGCAGACTGAGAACCTGGAGCTGCACACGAACGCCCTGCAGATCCTCCTCGGTGAGCCCGGAGCACCAGTGCCCTGCCGTCCTCTCCCCTTGTGCTAAGCATCCCATGCCCAGCCAGACAGTGACCCAGGACCCTTACCTCTGTCACTGTCCCTTCCCTTCCTTCATTCTATGTAGCCTTCCCTCTCTTGGGTCTGAAGTCTTAACATAGGGCCCTGGGTCACAGATGCACTCCTGACTGGCTGCTCCACACCCTGCCCATGGCGGGTGAGCTCCATGAGGTGGATTTTTGGTTTTGTTTTAAAGGTTTATTTATTTTATGTATATGAATGCTCTACTTGTATATATGCCTTTGTGCCAGAAGAGGGCACTAGAAATAGTTGTGAGCTACCATGTGGGTGCTGGGAATTGAACTCAGGTCCTCTGGGAGAGCAGCCACCAAATGATCGCTCCAGTCCCCAAAAATGTACATTCTTGATGATAAGAATGGTAAAATATTTTGTCACAGAAGGTAAATCTTTTACAGAGATTTGGTCTTGTGTCTGTTTAGCTGTTTTCAACAAATGGGCTTGAGATAGCCACTGAGCCATCTCTCCAGCACACTCTGAGTTTTGGCAGCCATGCCTGGCACTTGGGAGATGCTCCATAGACGTTTGTGGGAGGAAGGAGTGGATGGGAGGAGAGAGCAGGCCCTGTGCTCACTCCCTGCAGAGGAGAGCCTGCTGCGCTGCCAGGACCTAGCCTCCTCCCTGCGCTTCCTGCGGGCTGATTGCCTCAGCACAGGCACGGAGCTGCTCCGGAGGATCCAAGAGAGGCTGCTGGCCATCCTGCAGCACTCCACCCAGGTACTGCCCTGCACAGTCCTGCTTGGGGGGAATCCTGAGTGGGCAAAGGGGGCCAGAGCCAGTGAGCTGTGTCCCTTAAGCTCCTGGGGTTTCTCCAGATCAGGGGTTTGGGGCCAGGTGCTCATGAGAATCAGTCTGAACTTTCTCAGACCATAGCCCTGCATGTGGGAGGCACTGAAGGGAACGATCTCCAGGGTCAGGTACTCAGGTGTGGAGCCCAAACTGAGCCCTGTTCTTGGGTCATCTTCTGCCTGCTTGGTAACTGGTCAGAGATGCTGCTCAGTGCAGGCTCAGTGCCCATCACTATCCTCTCCCAGGAGCCTCAGGGAGTTAACTGCAGGAGTGCTCACGGGAGTCTGGCTCTTAGGAACCATCAGGAGACAGAGTGCCAGGCCAGAGGCCTGGTACCCTCTGCTCTTCTGCTCCTCAGGCTCTCCTGTCTCTTTGTCAGGACTTCCGGGTTGGACTGCAGAGTCCATCAGTAGAGGTTCGGGAGGTGAAAGGATCCAATGTGCCCAGCAATCAGTGAGTAGGCTGGGCAGAACCCGGGGGAGGGCAGCAGGAATGCAGGCTTCTCCGGCTGAGAGTGGTGACCTTCTCCAGGCCCCAGGGCTCCTTGGGGCTGGAAGCCGAAGAGGAAGAGGAGGAAGAGGAGGATGTACCCGAGTGGCATCACGACTTTGATGAGGAACTAGACAACGACAGCTTCTCCTATGACGAAGAGTCAGAGAACCTGGACCGAGAGACTTTCTTCTTCGGTGATGAGGATGACGATGATGAGTCCTATGACTGAGGGGGGTGGCAGGAAACACCAGGAGCTGCTCCACCAGGCAGGGCCACAGGGCTGGGGACTTCAGCCCTCCACTGTCACATGAGAGGGGATTCCCAGTGTGTGCAGCACCTTCTGTTTACTGAATAAACTTTTTTCACACACTCTCCTGGTGTCCCTGACAGCCACTGTCACTCTTTAAACGACTTTTACTACTGTGTATGCCTGTGTGCACGTGCTGTGGTGCTATGGATGGAGACAGGGAGTCACTTCTCTTTTCCATGTAGGAGCTTGGGCCAGAACTCATGTCTTCAGGGTTAGCAGCTGAGCTGTCTCACCTTAGACTTCCAGACTTTTCTATCCTCAGAAAAAGCCCCAAGCAGACTCGTTTGACCTAAACTCACAAAGGGAAGCATGAGCCCTCACAGTTCAGAGATGAGGAGAATGACAGCCAGCCCGCCTGGCCTCCTTCCATACTTTTCAATGTTCCCCAGGCAAAGGGCATGACAAGGTGCCCTCCTTTTGGGGACCATTTCAAAAGGCCTTTTTGTGTCAGGTGAAGCGTGATGGAAGGGGATGCTCTTAAGGTCCTGTCCCACCCCCACCACTATACATTTGGTGGTTTTTTTGAGACTGGGTCTCTCTACATAGCTCTGAGTGTCCTGGAACTCATTATACAGACCACACTGACCTCTAATTCAGAAGTCCACCTGCCTGTGACTCCCGAGGGCTGGGATGTATGCCACATCCAGCTAAATGAACCCTTTTCACTAGTGAGGGAGGGTGAGGCTGGAATGATTCTAGAGATGTGTCAGGGATCAGGATTTAACAAAGTGGGGCCAGGCCCAGAGACAAGGGTCAGCAATTAAGAGCACTTGTTACTCTGCAGAGGCCCTAGCTTCAGCTCCCAGCACTCAACGCGGTGTCCATAACCATCTCTAATGCTAGTTCCAGAGAATCCCATGACCTCTTCTGGCCTCTGTGAGCGGCAGACATGCATTTGGTTATATAAGTACATGTAGTCAAAACATAAAAACTCTCAAACTTTTTTTTAATAAAGTAGGGATAGGTCAGATACTTGGGTTACTGGAGGCAGCTTTCCTCTCAGGAGGGTAAGTCGCAAAGTATCGATCAAGCATGGCGTCCACCTCTTCTTCTGTGTAGTCCCACACCTGGATCCTCGAGCCATTTGCTGCTCCTCGGATCATGGCGGAAAGCACTGGGGGGGGGGAGGGGATAGAATTGACTCCATGCTCCCCAATTTGCTCCATGCCCCAGCCCACTGGGAAAGGAAGAAACTGGTATGGGGTTCCCAGAAAGCCAGGAAGGGGTAAGCGCTCTGAGGCTGGGTTACTTACCTCGACCAGACTGTGGTCGGAATAGGCACAGAATTTGTTTACCAAGAGCTACTGCCCAGCCCAGTTCATAGCCAACACCCAAGGATGGCTGTGTCACCTCGGCCACGACCACTAGAAAGAAAGCAAAATAAGACTTAATACCTGGGACTTGTAAGGACAGGGCGGCAGTGTTTCTGTGGTATGGAAGGAGTCCCTTCTAGGTATGGAGACCAGGGACATCCAGGAATAACTGTCACAGAGGAGCCTGCATGGAGGAGGGAGGAGTACTCACCATCAGCCTGCCGCAGCCAGGCCAGGTCTTGCTCATGGATGAGCTTGTCGCCCCCAGCAGCCTCTTCTCCTGTGGTTGAGGGGAAGCCGTTTAAGGAAGTTCTCACCCCAACTCAGTCCCTGGAACCCTTCATATGCCCTTCATATCTACTTTGCTCAGAGAGGCAGAGGGAGGAGACCCGTGCTCCAGCACCTCCAAAGGCCAGCCCAGGAGAGGAGTATGTCAAAAGGGGTGAGGAATCGAACAGCCACAAGAAAAACCCAATCCTGAGCAAGGTGGCAATGAGTGACTGGGGCTGGACGAGTGTGTGGAAAAGACTGACTACCTATGAAGTCAAACAGCCCTGGAAAGGCAGCTGGGGTCTGAGGGTCAGGATCACAGCCGCCAGCCTGAATAAATGCTACTGTTCAGGATGGTGAGGTAGTGCTGGTGGCAGGGCAGAAATATCTCATCAAAAAGTCCATTTGTGAGCTGAAGACGGTGGCACACACCTATAATCCTAGCCTCAGGAGACAGAAGCAGGTGGATCTCTGTGAGTACCAAGACAATCTGGCCTACACAGTGGGTTCCATGACAGCCAGGGATATATAGAGAGACAATGTCTAAAAAAAAAAAAAAAGCCTGACGGTAGTGACAAGCACCTTTAATCCCAGCACTTGGGAGAGAAGTTCAAGGGCAACCAGGGCTACACAGAGAAACCATGTCTCAAAAAACATATTTAATCCGGCACTCGGGAGGCAGAGGCATGTGGATCTCTGAGAGTTCGAGGCCAGCCTGGTCTACAGAGTGAGTTCAGTTCCAGGAGAGCCAGAGCTGTTTGTTACAGAGAAACCCTGTCTTGAAAAAAAAAAAAAAAAAAAAGAGGAGGAGGAGGATGCAGAAGGAAGGAAGGAAAAGGAAGGAAGGAAGAAAGAAGGAAAGAAAGACAAAAGCAAGCAAGCTGGGTTTTGTTTTATCTCAGATTTCTTTTAGACAGGGTCTAACTATGTAGTCCAGGTTGGCCTGGAACTCTTCCTGCCTCAACTTCCAGAGGGTTAGGATTCGAACAGTTGAGGACTATCAACCAAAAACACCGTGAGCTAGCCACCCATAATAACAAACAGGACCTTTTCAATCCACTAGTGTTTTTGCCTTGTAATTCTTTGTCTTTGAAAAGATTCTCCCGGAAGGGCTGGAGAGATAGCTCAGCGGTTACCAGCACTGACTGCTCTTCCAGGGAACTTGGCTGGGTTCAGGTCCCAGCACCCACATGGCAGCTCCCAACTAAAACTCCAGTTTCAGGGGACCCGAAACCCAGCTTCGGGTCCCCTAATACACACAGTTTATGAGTTTGTTCTTGCGTGGGGCAAGGGAAAACTACTTAATAGTTTTCTGAGCACAAGTTCAAGATTCTAGGTACAACTTTCAAAGGCTTCTAGTGTGCTGGGACTGCATGGGGCGTGCACTTGCAGGAGTCATAACCCCAGGGCCTTCCTCAGCCAGCCAGTCCCCTAACTTAAAGGTCCCAGCCCTCGGGGCCCCTAGACTGCAGGTCCCTTAGGCAGCAGGTCTACTAGTCAGCGGGTCCCCTAGCCTGCAAGTCCCTTGCCAGCCAGTCCCTCAACCTACAGACCCCTCTAGCCCCAGTCTGCGGGTCTCCAGGCCGCGCCGCCTCACCGCGCGGGTCCAGCTCTGCAGCAGCCACGTGCTCGGTGAGCACCTTCCCATAGCGCCGCAGCCGCGACACGATCTTCGCATACAGTGCCTGGTCCTCGCGCCCGCCGCGGATGCTCCCGCAGAAGTACACGGAGCAGAGCCCCTGCTCGGCCGCCGCCGCCATCGTCGTGCGCGCTCGACGCCGCCAGGGGGCGCAGTCACGACCACGTGATCTGAGAATGCGACTCGCGGCAGAAAAGGGTGCATCTTTTGCAAGCTCACTCCTCTCGGATTGGCTCTTCCTGAGTCAACCCGCCCCTTAGCCCTAACTCCTCCCTGTCACCTGCCCCTCCCCAGCTCCCAGCTGCTCAAGCTGTCTGGACTCTCCCGATTCCCTCAAGCTCTGCAATGGATCCATGGGCAACTGTAATAATAGCTTCTCACTAATCTTTCCACAATTTAAAATACTGCTAATTTTTTAAAAATCAGTTTATCATTCGCCGGGCGGTGGTGGCGCACGCCTTTAATCCCAGCACTCTGGAGCAGAGGCAGTGGGATCTTTGTGAGTTCGAGGCCAGCCTGGTCTACAGCGTGAGTTCCAGGGCAGACAAAGCTACACAGAGAAACCCTGTCGAAACCCCCCTCCCCGCCAAAACAGTATCATTCATCGTGTATGTAATGTGATTTAATCAAATCCACCCGATCTCTCCCTTCCAACCCCACCTCTACCCTCTATACCAACTCCATGTGATCTGTTATTATTATTGTTGTTGTTTTATTTTATGTGTATAAGTGATTTGCCTTCGTGTACGACTGCGGCGCATGCCTGGTGCTCCAAGAGGCCAAAAGAGCACAATGGGATACTCTGACCTGGAGTTACAGACGTTGTGAGCCACCAAGTGGGTGCTGAGAATCAAGCCCGGGGCCTCTGGGAAAGCAGATAGTGTGTGCTCTTAACCACTGAGCCATTTATCCAGCCCACCTTTTAATTTAATACTGAATACACTGTTACCTATGTGGGCATGGGTATGAAACCGTGTGCTGGAGGAAGTACAGGCAACCTCTCAGGGCCTGATTCCCTGAAGAAAAATGGCCCAGCAGCCATTTCTCATCAGTAGCTCCTCAGCTACTGTCATGATTCGCCTTCTCCACACAAACTGGGATTTGGGACAGCTTGATCTTGTGCAGGCAGCCACGACTGCTATGAATTACTGTGTGCAACCCCATGCCATGTCCAGGAACACTGTTTCATGACAGTCTATCCTCTGTCCCTTATAGTCTTTCCACTCCCTCTTCCAGAATGATCCCTGAACCTTGGGGGAGGGATGTGGCATTGGCAATGTACGTTCACGTTCACACACTCTCCAGTCCCCAGGTGTGGGACTCTGGATTAACCTGGATCTACTACAAAAAGAAGCAAGTCTGGTGAAGGCTAAGATATGCTCTAATATGTCGGTACAGAGATAAGAAATTGGGCAAGACTATTACACATTCTGAATCTGACTCTCCATCACCTCCATGGTCACCACCCTGGCCCTACCACTCTGCAGACCTGTTCCCACCTCTTCCTGCCACAGTCTGCTAACCACTCTGTAGCTGTGCAGAGCACACTGAGGGGATGGGAAACCCTCAGTGACCCCCATCTTAATTGGGGTAAACCCAAAGGGAAAACAGAAAACAATCCAGTGGCTCACACATTAGTGAAGAGCTGTGAAAACCAGCCTCTAGATAAAACACAGTCATTGCAGTCACCAACTCTTGCCTGCAGATGAATGCACTGGGCCTGCAGAAGAAAGAGGCTATCAACAGCCAAGGCTGGGTGGATGGAGGGCTCCACCTTCACTGGTGAACTAATACGTCAGGAAAAATGGAGCCACTGATTTCGGCTGTGTGCCCATTGGTG